TACCCTTTGCCCTCCTCAGGGTTAACAGCCAAGACATTATAATCAAATTATACTTAGCAGGAGGGGGGGGGTGAAAGTTGAGGAACAAGAAAGGGAAGGCTTCATTTAGAAGCCTACCCACCTCACCCCACCCAAACCACGAAGCCATTTCAAATATATAGTATAAGCAGGCAGGCAACGGTGGCTGGCCCGGAGCAGTTACTTGAACCGGCCAACTTTGAGGGAGCCATCTCCAGTGACAGCAGAAATGCCAGAACTCAACTCGAGGAAAACATGAGTGGGGGGGGGGAAAGAGCGGGGGTTTCCATAACGGTAATTTTAGCAGAAGGGATACCTAAGGCAACGAGGGGGACACTTTGGGGGGGGGTAACTTAGTACCCCAACTTCATAGCCCCTCCCCGGAAACAGAAGAGGGAGCATTTGCTTGAGGGAATTTCTGTTGGGCGAGCGGAATCTGCTCACTTCGGGGAGCGACTGTTGCAGCCAGCACCTTAACTGCCCCCCCACGCTCCCCCCCCCACGCCTCCTTTACCTACCTGCTGCAGGGGCATTTCCAAGCCTAACAATGCCCCCCCCCTCCCGACAGCTCCAAGAGTTGAGAATCGGGAAGGGCCGCGTGTCTGTGGGCGAGAGAGGCGGCGAGACGGGCACAGGCGCGCACCCTGTTGTGTTATGTGTGCAGTTCTGTGTGGTTGCTCAGGCCAGAGGAAGGCTCTGGTGTGTGTCCCCCCCTCCCCCGCTCGGATCAGCGCCCCCTCCTTCCCTCTCTCTCCCTCCTTCGCCCGGCTCCCAGTCACAAACGCGGCCTCGGCGCACGTGTGCGAAACGTCACCACCGAGTCCGGGGGTGAAGCGAAAAAGCGACCAGCGGGACAGAGAGCCTTCCTCTTCCCCACGGCCATGCTGCCTGCTCAGACCCTGAACCCCACCGCCGGGGAGAGTAGGGTTGAAACCTGGCCGGCCTTCTCACGCATTCACACGAACACGCCGCCAGCTGCCCCTAATCCCTAGTTCTCCCGTTCCAGTGCGCCGCTTGCGACGCCGTCCTCTTTGTTCCTGCCATAAGGCAAAAGGAGACTGCCCCCCCAGTGGTCCCCCCCCTTAATCGGAGGACAACTACCACCCCCCGGGATTTATTTCAATGTTGGGGACGCCCTAATTGTCCCAAATCTCCCCGGCTGCTGGGCCATGGTGTCTTCCCGCCAGAAGAAAAGGAAAGAAAAGATAAAAGTTTGTGGCACTGGGGGAGACATGACATACAACAGCGTCCATGACGCCCCTCTTTCAGGGAGCACCCCCCCGTCCCGCAGCGCAGAAAGGAAACTCAACCCCCGAGACCGGGAAGGAGGAATTACCAGGGATCGGCCTCCGCTTTCACTGGCGGGATGCACCAGCACCGCCCGTCCGGCTGGCCCGTGCGGGGTGCAGCACAAGGAGGTGCCTCCCACGAGACTAGGCCGAGCGCCCTCCGCCGTGCCACAATCAGCCCCGGGAAAGCTGGAACCCCAAGTCGCCCCCAGCACGGATGCCCCGGAACTGCTGTGGAACTGAATGAAAGCGCTGGCGGCGGCAGGGGCGAAACGAGCTGGGAGGCTGACGGCAACTGCGGGGGTCCCTCCGGAATCCATGGGAGGCGAAGCCGACCAAGTAGGGAGGCCGTGCGGGTGGAGTCCCCTCCGCATCCTTCTTGTATGGATCTGCACCCGGAGCCGAGTCTCCTCCCACCCCTTTCGCTCACCACCCCTTCCCCCGGGCCTTCCCGAGTCTTTAGCTACTTAAGGCCCGAGCCCGGCTCGAAATGGTCCAGGCTGCGGATCCCGGGGAAGGAGCCAGCTTTAGGAGGCAACGTTGCTAAGGCGAAGGAGCCCGCATTATGGGCAGATGCTGCGGATGGATTGCGGCCACTCCCGCTGTGTGGGGCTAGCTGGAAAATGGCTCCAGGAAGCAGCGGCAGCTGCCGCTGACAATGAATAAAGAGAAGGGAGAAGGGTTACGCGCCAAGAGCCTCCCGCGAAACTCAGATTTCCCGCTCGCTTTTCAAACCAGATTTGCATAGCCCCGCCCTTTCAGCATGCCAAGCCTGGATCGTTAACTCATTGGTCTACGCCCTCTGCCGGGCCTCCCAATGGCGAGAGTCTTGGACACTTTGCCAGCTTCTCATTGGATCATAAAGGCACGGGATTGCCCTGTTTTGCATTGTCCTTGCCGATTGGTTCACCAGTTGGGGGATTCCCTTTCGAGGTGCCGGGATTCCGGACTTTGACGCCGAGCCTCCCACCCTTCGTCTTTATTCCTTTCCGAACTTTTCTTCCGCTTTACAGTGAAGAGGGGAAACGCAGCGCCAGTTTGCACTCAACATGAGTTACAGACATAGGGCTGAACTCAGTGGATTGCTAGGGTATTAAAAATAAAATTGCCGATATCTAAACCACATTCGGAAGAAATTAAACTGGTACTGCTGTGTGAAGAATATTGTAATTTATGCCATAATTAAGCTTTTAATGACCTACAAGACTTACCCCTCCCTTTCCTTTGGTCATCTGACAGATATCTGACTATTGTCGGTAGATCACTAAAAACTTTCGGCTGGTAATAGCTGAAGCAAAAATATCTCCTAGAAGTGCAAATTCAAATTGTATTGTTTAAGTGACTAAGCATTAATAAAACTCATTTTGTTTGGAAGATCTGTGGACGAATTGCTTTTTAGCATCCAAACAGTTGGTGCACTCACAATTAATGGCAATTTGCACCAGGCTCTATTTGATAGATTTCTGATTTAGACTGAAAAATAGACAAAGCGGAGCCCACATGCCTGAATTATATTTACCATAGTTTGTGGCAGATAGGGTAATTCAAGTTTCAGGGGATATAAGTGACCCCAATTCCCCTTTGTGTTTGTGTGGGCCTTTCCTTTGCAACTTTCTTCAGCTTGATATCAAACTATTTGGAGTGGAGAAAACCAAGAGCAATTGTAAAGAGCTCCAAAGGATCTTTTAAAATTGTGCATACCAGCTATGTGCAGTTCAGTAACATGGGGCACACTCTTCCCCCCTCCCCCTTTCATTTATATACTGATGGAATCTGAACTATCTGCAGCTAATCAGGGAAAAAATTCTTAGAGTCATAATGGATAGTTAATTTATATGTCAATGACTTGGTAAACGTGGAAAAAACATTGTATGGTAGGGTTTATTAGAAAATGGCATGAAATTGAAGATATTGACAGGATTTTTTTCTTCCTTTATGGATCATGGATCATGGAAGTGAAGCTGATTGGGGAAAAATTTAGAACAGAAAACTGAAGGCATTTCTTCACACAGTACAATTAGCCCGTGGAATTCATTGCCACAAGGTATGTTGATAACCAGTAATGGGGAAATTTAAAAAGGATGGATAAATATGGATGACAATTGTTTCAAGAACTATTAGTCTTGAAAAGTCATGGCTTCAAATACCAATTGCAGAGAAGTGTATGTTTCCATCTCCCAAACATATGTGGTTTGGCCTGTTTGAGAAACAAAATTATGGAATTTGCTGTGCCTTGATCTGATCCAGTAGAGCTATTCATATGTTTGCTATTACAGTATAAGACAGATAAATCTATGTAAATGTAGCATTTCTAAAAGAATATGTGAAAGACACATACACCAATTCCTTCCTGTAACATGACTCAGTGACCTACTGTAGCACCTTTTCTACCAAATACTAAATTTTCTTCTTTATCAAGAGATGACCTGCCCTTGCTTTATATAATTTATTAAAAGTGGAAGTAATTGTTACCATTGCTGCTGGAAGGAGATATGCAATTATTAATCTAAGCAGATATCAATTCAAATATTGAATGTATTTTAGATGATAAGTTAATTTTAAGTCCATTTTTTAACATTTTGGTATCATTTTCTCAGATATTATTTTAATTTATTGTTAGATTCAATCTTTCCTTCAGGATATTCAGCTTCTCTTCCCATCCTCCCACAACAACAACTCTATGAGGATGGTTGGGCTGAGGCAGAATTTGGGCTATCAGTGAGGGTAGCAAACTATAAATAATCCAGTTTGCATTATTTTATCACCAGAAGGATTACTATTTTAATTTTTGGCAACCCTGTCAGGTAGTTGAGAAAGACAGTCACTAATTTGTCTAAAGGAGACTTAGAACTCACAATCTCCAGATTTCTTAATTTAATAAATTAACCATGGTTTGGTTTTAACATCTGATCCTTGCGAATAAATTATTGGAGCCACATGAAATTCATAGGAGCTGTAGTCTCCGATTTGGCTGGGGATAAGTTGCATACAATAGAAAGGGAAAGGATGGTTTGCATGGCCTTTTTAACAGGGCTTTTTGGTTTAAAGGAATTGCACCAAATCTCTTTCTTTATATATTTCCGGTTTTAGCCTTCATGCCACAGAACCGTAATTGCCTTCCTTCACTAATGAAAACAATATATCCAGTGCTTTCAAACTAACAGCCTACTGTAAAGTGCCCCAGTCTCTAAACCAGGTTGTTCCTAATTGAGCCAAAGGGACTAAAAGAGCAAAATGTTTCATAAGGTTTAGTATATAACGTGCCCAACAGATGACCATGAATCCCTGTCTTTGACTTTGATTTTTCCGCTTCCCAAATTTCTAACAGTCATCCAGACATCACATTCCTTGTGTAACTTCAAAAACAAATCATAATGCAGTAAAAGGATGAACTGATCTTGGAAGATCAATAAACTAGTGTTCAACCCAGCAATGAGAAGCAGTGTGCATGGAATGGGATAAATAAAGGCATAAAGATTTAAATAGCTTAAGGCAGGCATGTCCAACTGATGGCCCCTGGGTCACATGCGGCCCTGGACAGCTAGTAATGTGGCCACACAAGTCTGTCTGTCTGTCTTTCTGTCTCTCTCTCTCATTACTCTTATCTCAATACAGGAAATGATTGGGAGTATGCTGAGAAAAGTAGAAGCTTGGTGGGTCCTGGTTGCTGCATGCTACTAAATTAGACATTACCTGCACTATTTTTCCAGTAATGATTTGGGTTCTTCCAATGAGGGCCATTGAGTTATATGAATGCTAGATTTGCAAAACTGTAACAGGACCTTCTTAACACTGCATTCTTTCTCTTTTGTCTGGATGAGTTGGATTGCAATTCCCAGGTTCAGCAATTAGCACTGCCATTTGGAAGAAACTAACCAAAATCCATGTTCCTCATGCAGTCTAAATATATGTACAGGTAATTTTGTAAATTCATCCTTTTCTTTCTTTCCTACCCTTCCCTTTCCCTTTTATTATCCTTTATTCATCTCCATGACTAAAATACACATTATAGGATATTTTGAAGAGCTTAGTGTCTACTTTACACATAGGTTTCTCTTTAACTATATATTGCATAGTTTGTAAAACTAATGATCAGATTAAAAACATCAGGAGATTATTTGATCAATAGATTACATTCATAATACATTCCAATATAGTCTTATCAGTGTCCTTTGAATCAACAAACTGTTTTTTACCAACTTGATCAAAGATTTTTTGCGTGTTTCAGTACAAAGAAAATGTATAGAACAGAATGTCATCAAAGCAAATTTGTTGCTGTTTATTGATCTGTAGTTAGCAACAAAAATTGAGAGTTTGCTTTTGAAAAATTCACTGTCCTAACTTTTAGCAAACACTGTCTATTCCTTCTGTAATGCTAAAATTGGGTTGTTCTGGTAAGATCTTATTAGCAAATTACTCACATTTGGGTTTTCTTAAACACAGTAATCATTTGGTTTTTGGTTGAAAGTGTCCAAAGCAAACTGAATACAAGTTGAAACAAAGTCAAAACAGTGAAATGATTTAAATCTATAAGGGGAAAGTGATCTGATTAAAATTGAGAGCACAATTTGGAATTCCTAAGGTCTTGAGTTCTGCCCAAAAGTCTTCTAAAAGTCAGTTATTTTTTAAAAAGTAGCAAATGTAGGAATTAAGTACAAGAGCGATTATGTTAAATGTATTAAATTAAATCAAGTGGAATTTAATTATGTGATCTACTTCTTTATTGTAATTTTGCCAAGTTTGAGGAGTTTGACTATTAAAGGACCATTCAAACACATGTAGACCTATGATAAACACTTATACACACTCCTGTTCTAACCTATGGTGCCAAGCTAATTATGTTACACTTAAGGACACAATCCTATGGTGAACAGAAGCTATCTGAGACACTACAGGTAGAAATCCTACTTGGGAAAACCAGCACAATGTCTTGGTTAAATTGGTACTCCATTAGTGCAGCACTGCATTGGCAGAATGGTACAGGCAGAATTGCTAAAATGGGCACAAGGAAAGAACACATTTATGCTATGTTTTAAAACCATCCCACCTTTCTTGGTGATATACTTGCATACTGAACTTTGAGACAGGGCAATGAAATTCCTCCTTCTCTTCCTAACGCTGAATTTAATGGAGAGGGAAAAGATCATTTTGAAATCAATTGCCCCATCTATGTCACCACAGTGAGGATAATATAACAGTTGGCACCAAGGCATAGTGTACCCTCATTAGCATCTTATGATACATACAACAGAGTACACGATAAACCCACTCAGGTTTAGCATAGTATCTTAAGCAAACTCTGTGAGTCGCCCTACACTAGTGCAAACAATATATAACAAGCATAACAAAGATAAAGCAAATAAATGCAGTCTTATGAACAGTTTTCCTGTTTTTAAGGAAACAAAGGAAAAAGAAGGCTCAGAAAGTGCAAAGTATATAGTAAAGTTCCCAAGACACTCACTGAAAAAAAAAATAGAAGACCATTTATTTGAACAGAAGAAGATGAACAGCAGCAAGGTGGATGGAGTTAGTCAGAGTGGTGATGAGTACACTGTTGGAAGAGATGAAGAACCAGATTAGAAACAGATTGTTGTTGGGTAAATTCATTCAATAAGTATCAACAACAACTTGATGGCATATAATCAATTTCCTGCTGTACAGAACTGTGCAATGATCACCTTGATAAGATGCTTATTTTTCTAACACAGACATGTCAAACACAAGGCCTGGGGGCCGGATGCGACCTGCGAAGTGGTTTCATGTGGCCCATGAAGGCACCCTGGAAACAGTGAGGGAATGGCCCCCGCTGCCTTGGCCCTGGCCCAGACCGGCCGGGAGCCAATGTACAATTTTGTGGTGGCCATCTATGCTGAAATGCATTTAGTCTTAGCTCCACAAGGCCGTCTAGAAACAGTGAGGAACCAGCCCCTGCTGCGTCGCCCCCGCCCCCTGGGTGCATGCTGGGGAGGTGTCACCCTTTGTGAGGAATGAAGAAATGGACCATGCCTTGGCGCTTGCCCTGATCCCACCCCCTTCTGCCAGAGACCCTCAGATCTGTCCCACTCCTGCCCAGGCCCCCACAGGCACCCTTGACGCGAACGATGTAGAGCTGGCCATGCCCACCCAGTAGGCCAACCCACTCCATCCACGCCCACCCAGTAGGCCGCACCCACCTTGGCCACACCCACCCGGCCCCCCAGGGCAACCGCAATACGGCCCTCAATGAAATTGAGTTTGACACCCCTGTTCTAACAGATTACCCAGAAAGATAAAGTGTTCTAAACTAATCATAATAATTAGAACTTTTCACTTGAAAACATTTCAGTGGTTCTTTGAGCATCTTTTCTAATTCCATCTTAAAATATATTATGAGCTTCCCCTACTATCATACTTAAGAAGCAGTCTTGATCTGCTACAGAAAAGCTAATTAGCTTCATTTTATATGTTTTAAAGTTATATCTTATATATCAACCAGTAGGGGTCAGTTTCACAGCTACCGGTAATTCTAAGAAGTCATTCTATACAGGGACAAGGAAAGATGGCATGATTGTAAAGTTGATCTTAGTTTTTCTATCCTTAGCCTTATTACTCTATAACAAAAAGAAAAAATAATTTTAATACAAATACACATTGGGAATATAAAATATTATAAGGAAGAGACAAAAGGGGGGAAAAAACCCTCCAACCACTATAAGCAATAAAAGAAAGGTAGTTTAGTGTAGTGGTTAAGGCATCAGGATAGAAACCAGGAGTTAGCTGAGTGACCTTTCTTTCAGCCCTAGGAAGCAGGCAATAGCAAACCATTTCTGAAATCTTGCCAAGAAAAGCTCAGGAACTTGTCCAGGCAGTTGCCAGGAGTCAACACTGACTCAAACGAACAAGAACAAAAGCTATAAAATACAGGGAGATGACTAACAAGTCTCTACTAACCAGCAGATCTAAACTATCATGTGGGTAATATATACATTAACAACTTAGCCGTCTACTACAGTATAAGGCAGTTGTGGCGAACCTATGGCACGGGTGCCAGAGGCGGCACTCGGAGCCCTCTCTGTGGGCACACGTGCCGTCGCCCCAGTCCTAGGCCTTCAGCTGGGTTTTACACAACTTTTTCGCTTTAGGCCTCCGCCGCCGTGTGCAAAAAAAAAAAAAGATTCAATCAGTCAATTTCAACTTCTCGCAGGAAAAAAAAAGATCTTGCAAAGTTGGAATTGATTGATTGAACTTTTTAGTCCCACCCAGTTTGCCGTTACCACTTCAGCCACGCCCACCCAATGGGCCACACCCACCCGGCACTCGACGATGCATAAGTGGGTTTTGAGTTGCAGTTTGGGCACTCGGTCTCTAAAAGGTTCGCCATCACTGGTATAAGGTATTTTTATATCCAATTTCTATCACATATTAAACTATAACATTATATGGTTGCTGCAACTGAAATTGAAAATTCCTATGAATAATGCGTATGATATACTGTGTTATGAAATTAATCTATACATTCTAGAATGGAAACTTGGAATTAAGAGAATTAGTCCTTGATTAGTAACACGTTCAGTGATTATTCAAAATTACAATGATGCTGAATGAGACTTATGTCCAGTTCTTGAAGTTGCAGCCAGTTCAGCAGCCCCAGGGTCATGTGACTATGATTTGGGACAACAGGTGTGTATTTAAAAAGGGTCCCAGGGTCCCATAACTGCCATTTGCAATTCACCACCAGCATCTAACAAGCAAAGGAAGACACACATCAGTCAGGTAATGTTGCGCTTAACTACTGCTCACAATTTGCTTAACAACCACAATGGGATCTGCCATTTGTATCTGCCAGAACTGTGATTTTAAATTGGTGCTATCGTGTGTTTTTTCACTTTACGATTGTTTTGAATTTTCCAATCACAAATTAACTGATGACTATCTGTATAGTATAAAACTATCATAAAAATAAATATCTGTAGCAAGATTCTGACTACATGATGTTCCTTTAGAGTATATCATGAAATTTGTTCGAACCCCCTTCTTTAATCACAATTATTTTCTACTGTTTTTTAAAATTCAAAATACTTAGACTTTTAGATGTTTTCAGATGAAATTTTTGTGAAACTCACTTTGCTTCTCCATAAGGATAAGCCATGATTGCAAAGCCACCCAGAGTTACCTTGTGGTAAGATGGACAGCCAATAAATTTTATCAATAAAAATAAAATAGTAATAAAAAAGTTTCCTTTGTATTCTTCCCAATATTTTCCATCACTGCTCCTGTTCTTTTTTTTAACCACAGAACATCCATGAAGGAACAAAAGAAAATTATTTTTGGATTGATGGCATCAGGAGTTAATTCTTATGGAAGCATCTTTTATTGATGCACAGCTATGATCGAAAAAAGATTAATGACACTGTTTGTCTTTAAAACAAAACACAAAATATAAAACCTCTGCACATCTGCAAAGTCCTCTGGATCTTTGTACAGTAACCTCTGTATTTTCAGTTTATTCTTTCTCTGATATGGTGGTTTACACACAGCCACCAAGTTTGTCATTCATAGCATATTCCACAGGTGCTTCTAGCTCTTTATGTATCTCTTTGTGCTTTGGGTTTTCAATGAAGCTTTAAAACAAACTTTTTAAAATAGGGAATTATGATTTATATGATTATTCCTTCCACTTTCCCAGCATTATATACTTTTCAAGAGAGCTAGTTAATAGAGTTAATTGTTTAATTAAGTAACAGTTCCTGCTTACCCTAATT